CGAGGGCAGCCCGCTGGGCCGAAAGTGCCTCCGCATGCTGGGCCTCGAGGGCGGCCATGGTGGCATTGTGCTCCTTGGCGCGGGAGGCAAGCTGAGCCTCCAACTTTTCGGCGTGCTTCGCCTCGAGCGCAGAGACATGTGCAGCATGCTCATCCTGGAAGGCGGTACGGAGGCTGGCCACTGTCGCAGTGTGCTCAGCAGCCAGAGACGCATGCAGAGACGCCACGGCCTCAGAGTGCTTATTGGTCAGCGTGTTCAGCGCGGCGATATACTCAACCTGCAGGCTATTGTGCAGGGCCGACAGGGCCCCGGCATGCTCGCGCTCCAGCCCACTAATGGCAGCACCATGCTCGGTGGTGAGGGTGCTGCGCAGGGCATCCAGAGCAGCGGTATGCTCGGTCTCCAGGCTGGCCAGGGCCGCCGCATGCGTGGCCTCCAGTTGGGCCAGGGTGGCGGAATGCCCCCTGCGCAAATCCTCCTGCCGGGCATCAAACTCGGCCTGGAGACTGCTCCGCAGTGATGTCAGCGCCTCGGTGTGGGCACCTTCCAGCGTGGCAAGGGCTTGGGCATGGGCGGCCTCCAACGCCGCGATCCGCTCCATGTGGCTGGTGGTGATGCGGTCAACAGCCTGGGTGTGCTGCTGGCCCTTGGCCTCCAACAGGGCAGCATGCTCGGCCTGCATGGCCTGGGCTTGGGTTTGGTGTGCGGCGCGCTGGTCGGCCAGGGCCGCGGTGTGCGACGTGCGCAAGGCAGCCATGGCGGCCTCCTGCTCGGCCACCATGCCGATCAGTTGGTCTGAATGCTCGGCCTGGGCCTGCAGCAGCTGTGGCCATTTCGACAAACGCACCAAAGGGGCCATCCACACCCGGACGAATGTCAGTCACCCAGGCCAGGCGCCAAGCGGGAAGGCACAAACACAAACGCACTTGATCATGCAAACGGGCAAGATCCCCCGAAAGGGCATCCCGCTCGGAGGCCGTCTGTTCGGCCGAGGAGACCGCCTGCTCCAGGGCCTCCTGCGTGTCACGCTGCTCGGCCGCCTGTTGCACGATGCGGGCTGCCTGCCGGTGGATTTGCGCCAGCACCTGCCGGCTGAGATCGTTGTCCATCTGCGACACCTTGCGCAGGGCGTGGATCGACTGGCGCACATCGGTCGCCGAGCGGAAGGCGTCGGCCAGCCGGCGGAACCGCGCGTCATCGTACTGCACGCTTGACGAGCCGGAGGCATCTGCCGGGGGAGCCTGCTCGCCGGAGGCGGCCTTCATTTCTTCGGCACGCGCCTGGACCAGGCTCTCCTGTCGGGTACGCAACGTCGAAAGGTACTTCGGGCCGAAATCCGACAGAGCCCCGGTGACGGTCTGTAGCAGCTCGGCCGATTGGCGTTCGGCGGCCTGGACGGTGGCAAGGCGTTCCTCCAGCGCCGTGCTTTTGGCCTGCTGGTCGGCCAGCTGACCCTCCAGGTCGCTGAAACGCCCGAGGAGGGTCTTGTACCCGGCTGACAGTTCCCCCCAAGAGGCATTCAGCTGGATGTACTTGGTTTTGGTCTGCTCCAGGGCGCTCTTTAGCTCGGCATTCTTTCGCCGGAGCGACTCCTGGTCATACTTCTCCCGCAGGGCGGCCGTCAAGCCCACCAGACGCGCCTCAATCTCGCGCTCATAAGCCTCATGTCGCAGCAGCAGGCCATGTGCCTTTTCCAGGGTTTCGGCATTGGCCACCGAGGCGGATGCCGGGGCATCCTCGCTTGGGGGCGAGCTCTTTCGATAGCGGTTGAGCTCGAATTCCAGATCGCGCGCGACGTCTGCTCGCCAACAGCCAATGAAAAAGGGTGTGAGCACGGGCGGGAGGCACCAAATGTCCATCTGCGTGTGCGTGTGCGTGTGCGTGTGCGTGGGTGGCTGCGTGGGTGGCTGCGCGTGAAGATGCCTTGGCGGCGAGATGCGACGCACTGGACAGGTGCCGCTGGGCGAGGGCCATCTTGGCCAGCTCCGGGTGATTGTCAATTTGCCCCTGAAGAACGGCGATCTCCCGCGACCGGAGATCCAGCAGCTCGGCGCGCGACTCCGGGCTGAGCTCCGCCCCGAGGAGGCTGATGGTGCGATCACGAAATGCCAAGATCATCTTGTCAGACTGGGCATGACCAAAGGCCGAGGTGAAGACAGGAGCAGTTGGGCGGGGCAGGGGACATGTCAACCGTCAGGAAAATGGCGAGAAGGGAGCATGGGCCCGGGAGGGAGAGGTGGAAGAGGCGGGAGATGAGCAAATGAGAAGACGCAAAGACATACCTGAGACTTGGTGGCGCGACGTTGCTCCAGGTCCCGGGAGAGCTGCAACTCCTCGGCCAAGCCACGGACTCGCGCCTCACGGTGGCGGAGATGGTCCAGCAAGAGAGCCAATGCCGGCGCATCGGCAATGAGCCCGGTGAAGTGATCCAGGTACTGGTCGGCCAGAGAATGCGCCGCCTGCATGGCAACCAGGGTCAGATGCTCGCCCAGGAGCATTGTCGAGTCCGGCGCCTCGGTCACGACTTCCGGATTGGCGACCGGCACCACGGCCGCCGCGGCCAGCACGGCGTCAAGCTGTGCGCGCAGGCTGGTGTTCTCCGTTCGAAGCCGGTCGATGGCCAATGTGTCCAGGCCGAAGGTGCCTGTGTTGACGGTGGCACGATTGCGAATCATCTTGGCCCGGCTGGCGAAACGCAGGGTGGACGCTGTCTCCGAGGCGCAGGAGAGTGCCGGCGAGAGGTTGGCCACCAGGAAGGTGCGCGCATTGCCACCAAGCGAATCCTGTCCACATCCAGATCCCGGAGAGGGGGACATAGGGGAGGTCAGGCCACCGACATGACCAAGGAAGGGGAAAGTGTGTGCGCGCGCGCGAGAGGGAGAGGGAGAGAGAGAGAAAGGTAGAAAAGGAGGAGTCGGCAGACATGGCGTACTCGCAGCAGGAAGGTGAGCTTGGAATCGCGATAGTGCACATGCCGTGGCCGGCCCTGGCTCACGTCCACCAGGGCCTGGATGACACTGCCAAGCGTCGACAGGGACTTATTGATTTGACTGGCTTCCTTGAGACGGACACCCGAGGCGCCGGTGTCCTTTTGCCTGAGACCGGCGGCAGGAGGAGGAGGGGGAAAGAAAAAAAAAGGGCAGACCACACGGCAACAGGGTCAGC